TACTAGGGGCTCCTGGCCTTACTACTAGGAGCAAGGACGCTACTAGGGGCTCCTGGCATCGCTACTAGTTAGAAGTTTGCGCTTCTGTAGGCAAGAGTCGACACTGCCATTGTCTGGGGCCGCCTCTGAACCACCCGATTATCGAACGGTTGAATTTGAGGAAACCCATTATTCCCAGACCCATTATTCCATGCTTTATTGATCTTTGCCTAGCCTAGCCTGCCCATTGGCTTTCGTTGAAGAACATCTAGCAGCTAGGACGAGCAAAAACGATATTACAAACTGATTTCATCTCCACGGTCTATGATACAAGGCCACGCAGCTGACACCGAAGGCCACGCAAAGACGGACCACGTGGATGCGGATGGCTGTGGCTAACTCCCCATGGAGCCGCATCTGCTGGAGCTCCTGCAGTTGGTGCCAAATGCAATAAGGATGAAAGAAAGTGAAGCATGCAAATCAGAATCCCAAATCAAAGAAGTGCGGGAATGGTCACAGCGCAGATGTTGATTGGAAGCAGCACAGTTGGCATATCTTTGCTGACCAACCCAAACACGTGAAATGCTCAAGGCCCAAGGTGTGTCAGCCCCCTCGGTGATACCACCCTCGCTCCTCTTCCGTGCGAGGGGCTTGACCACTCACGACATCGTGTAGCAGGTCTTCTTTGGCGCCTGGCGAATGTGAAGCCCTTTGTACCTGCTATAAGTTGTACGGCGATTGACTGAAAGATGGCTCAGAGCCCCATAAATTTAAATTAAAGGCTGCGGGCTATGTCTTGTGTCTCAACCTGTTCTTGGCAGTATTGTTCATGGCAAGAACTGCTGAGTCAACATGCCTGCCATAAAGGCACAAACGGAGTGAACCAAGAAGTCCATCCTCAGGTGAAAAAGAGCAGGAACCCTTCTTAGCCTGCACATGGTCCTGGTGCAAACTGAGAAACTACATCGTGAAGGGTGAGCAAGTGTTTAAAGTATTGGAGTCGGAAGGTTCCACAAAGCACCGCAAACAACTATCCATGAGACCCAAACAAATATGTTTAAAGAACTGCAATCCAAACTGGTGAATGGGTCCTCACAATCACTTCATGATTCATCACCGCGGGCCTTTCATGTGTGCGTGTGCAGATGCTTCCATGGCATGCAAATCCTCAGAACGAAACCTGTCAAAAGCTCTCACTTTGAGGCTACAAATATTCGGCCCTGTTGCAGGAAGATTGGTAAGGGGTTCAACATGTTCGCAGCAATCAGGCTTTTTCCACCCCTTTTCATGATCCATCAAGTCGGCAGTGAATGATGAATCCTGAGAATGGTAGAACGTGACATT